CTTAGAATCATTGGATGAGGATCAGATAGCTTATATTTTATTTCAGTCAATCAGCTTAAAACACATTTGATAATTAGTGGTTTAATCTTCATCTAACAGTTATAAATGCATTGAACAGATGAAAAACTCATTACCATGTATTCAATGCATTTTTAACAAATAGATGATGATAGATGAGAGCATGTTTAGATACAGTGTATAAGGATTTTAAAAAAAATTTCTATCGAAAATACTCTTCATTTTTAATGGAGAAAATTTTAAAAGTCTTTTTAAAGTTCTTAATCACTAATGATTTGGTGGTTAGCCCCGGCTAATAAGTAATAAGGTGCTGAGTGCTGACAATATTCAAATGCTTGCACTACTTTTCCTAATTGTTCAAGTAGTTAAGAGTTAGGAGATGATGAAAAAGTAGCACGCTCTTCAGTCTTCACCTCCTCCCCTATCCCCCACTTACAGACCAAAAAATAAAAAGAACAAAACAAAACAAAAGGGTTGCACTGCTGATAAATTTGTCCAGTGTGATCCTATGGTCATGGACATGGTCGCAAAACTAACAGCAAAGTATGGGATTACTATAACCGCCTAAACAAAAGATATTATTAGGGGACAGACATCCAGGTTAGGAAGAACTTGGTTAACCGATGTATATTGTCGGCATCAGCCATCGGATGGAACGTGGAAGTATTCAAGTTTGATTGAGAAATTGGGCAACTTGATCTTGTTTTAGAAAAAGAGGATTCAGAATCTTCCAAAATGCTTGATTTTTGATAGTTTGTACTCTATCCTGCCAAGGGTTGTAGAGATGAGCTGTGTGCACGTAATTCATAGGACAAAATTTGTGGAGGAAATACAACCTTATCTTTACGTTTGTCACATTTTCTCTCTCAACTAAAAAAGTATTAGAAGGAAAAAGAAAATAGATTAATCGATGGCCAAGTGAAAAGAGACATGCAAACAATTTAAGAATTGGAAATCAACCAAACATGACAGAAGCCATCGGCGTTTAATGTGAAAGTTGCTTTTTTAGCATAATTAAGCTTCTTAGGGAGTAAGAAAAAAGACAGCTTTCTATAGTCCCTCGTGGTGAAATTCAACGATTTCAATCCAAAGTAGTCCAAAATGGAGGGAATCTCTCACTTTCAGAACAAGCCATTTCAATTTCTGATTGGTGATGAAATTATAAATGCAGTTGGAATTTAAATGGGTACGTGGAACGTAACTTTGATCAAATATAATCGGTCCGTTTCTTAAAGAGAATAATATATTTTGGTTTTCATTATAAGAAAAACTCTATGTTATGCACACTGCTACTTATTTTACATATTTCCACACTCGTGGCACATGGCATGCTGCACTTGGTGCTAAGTAGCTACGAGTGAGGTACACGCTTTACACTTTGTGGTTCTCCGTTGGCTAAATGTCTACATTCTACACCCGCTTACTTGGAATGCTTGTTGCTGTACATAGGTTTGGTATGAATTGAAAGCATGGGTGTTTTAAGCTCTAATTATGCAACTCATTCAACATGGTAATAAAATAAAGGCTCAAGACCTTTGAAGTAAATGGCAAATAAAAATAACACAAGGATGGGAGTTATGGCAGAAGTTTATGCAGTTCCTACAGAGCAAGAAGGGACTAGTTTTTAATTTTTTGAAGAAAAGATGGGCAATGCCGATGAATTTAGCCACCAAGTGCAAGGTGAAATATTTGGAACTAAAATCAATTCAGCAAAATATTTGGAGTTCTTGGTTAGCACGAACTTACGTGTAAAAAAATCTTTATTTTACACCCCACTCCACTGCCTTGAGGTTTATTTATTTATTTATTTATTTATTTATTTTTATATAACACAAAATTTTAAAATTATTCTAATATTATATCTCGCTAATAAAATATTTAAGAAAATTTCATTAAACATCCACCGTCTCTAAATTAAAAACTAATTTAATTTCTCTAAATTAAAAACTAATTTAATTTTACGTAACTCATATTTGTTGTATTATTGTTGTGAATTTTGGTTTAGTTTCCAACCTCTTACACTTTTCGTAATACTCAAACCGGTATCATTTGTATATGTTTTAGTGTCATTTAATAAAATTATCCTTCTTTGATCTTTAAAAAAAAAGTTAAAATATATCTTCTTATCACATATCAATTTGTATTATATATCTTCATAAATCATTTTATATATATATATATATATATATATATATATATATATATATATTTTCTTTTTTTTCTTTTTGCTTTTCTTATGGCCC